ATTACAGGAGCACACCGCCTGCAGAGCACAGGAGGGGGTCCATCCATCCATCCATCCATCCATCCATCCATCCATCTATCTATCCATCCATCCATCCATCCATCCATCCATCCATCCATCCATCCATCTATCTATCTATCTATCTATCTATCTATCTATCTATCTATCTATCTATCTATCTATCTATCTATCTATCTATCTATCTATCTATTCATTTTACATCCAGCAGTGTAAGTGAACACTCCATGAACCCAGTTAGTGACTGTAGTCTGCTGCACTTTGTTAATGAGCTTTTGGGCCAGCCGGTGTAACGCTGTGTCACTGTGAGGCTGAGGTGTTCTCAGGCTAAATCCCAGCCAGAAGTCTTCCCTGTTACTGGGCAGCCTGAGGGATAAAGTACAACAACCAGCCAGGCCCAGTAACCCTGCTGATATAGTGGAAGTAGATGAAGTCTAATAATGGGTGCAGCCCTGCTGCTGTAAGCAAATCGTAGTTTACAGAGTGAAGAGCATCGCCAAGCATCCTTAAACTTGCAAGATACGCAGGTGCAAACATGCAAGAATGCTTCATAATCTGAGTTATTATAAAACATCTGAGAAGGAAGAGAGCTCAAGAAGACTAAGAACAAAACTAAGAATGTGCAGCCTGTAGCTGGACACAGTGGTGCTTTGAGGTTTAGTAACTGCTGACATCAGCATGCTAGCATGTCAACAATGCTAACCCTCTTAGTCTGGTGTGTTTGTACGCTGTGAATGATTTCATTCATTTCACTGCAGGTTTCTTTTACACAAAGGGAATAGAACTTGGGCCTAATGGCACTAGAAGACAAAGTTCAGAACCACAGGTCTGAACCTCATCGTGGTGCCAGCTGTGGTCCCAAAAGTCAACAGGATTCATCTTCTGAGGACTCTGAATGTCTGCATGTGACAGTCTGTGTGATGGCTGCTGAGATATTTCAGTGGAGCGACTGAGTGACGTGTCAGCGCTGGCATCACAGCAAACACACAGAACCTGAAAATCAGCTGCAGCAACTGGCAAGTCTGGTGACGAGTTAATGTTAATGTGAGAGAGTAGCTTTTTAGTCTTGTCATTTACATTGTCTTATATTATTCAGTTTTGTACTGACGTTAATGACAAGTTAAATTTGTACTGTCCATCCATCCATCCATCATCTCTACACCTTCATCCTCACTAGGGTCGTGGGGGGCTGGAGTCTATCCCAGCTGACTCAGGGTGAAGGCAGGTTCACCTGGACAGGTAACCAGTCTATCACAGGGCTACACTTAGAGACAGACAACCAAGCACACTCACATTCACACCTACGGACAATTTAGAATCACCAATTAACCTCAGCATGTTTGTGGACTGTGGGAGGAAGCCGGAGAACCTGGAGAGAACCCACGCTGCACGGGGAGAACATGGAGACTCCATGCAGGAAGATCCCGGGTGTCCTCACTGGGACGTGAGGCAACGGTGCTAACCACTGAGCCACCTTGCAGCCCCAATTTGTATATATATATATATATACACACATTATATTCACATTATTGCAGTCCCTCTTGTTTTGAAGAGTACTATACAACATTTAACTCAGAGCATGCGCTTAGTAGTTTCCATGAAACATCAAAATTTGTTCTCAGTAATATTGGCAATTGCCCAAATATCAGATTCCTCTAAAAAGCTGAAAGAAACAACTCGTGCGTCTTGCTTGTGTTTAGTATCAGTCTGTGAGCTCGTGGCCAACGCTTTGGTCCCTTCCAGGTCCTGGAGGTCACTGTTGACTCTCTGCCCTGAATGTCTAAAGCTGAACCGTCTGTTCCCAAAGCACCAGAGCAGAACTTACCGTGGAGTGTCAGAGGAAGAGGGAGGATGTTTGACCCACGGTAGCATTACTTTCTAGAGGAAGCGCAGTGGCTTCTATCGCTTCAGGTTCTTCTTCACACTAGAAACTAAATGTGATTTTACATTTCGCAGAAACATTAGTAAACTTACTGATGTGCGTTTGCTGCCCAGAGCTGCCTGTGACTTTGATTATTCCCTTTGACTTTAATAATTACCTGCAGAGTCACATGGCAGCAGAAGGGCTCGTTTAAATTAAAGGTGATGTGCGTCCTTACGCACGTGGAGCAGCGGTAATTTCATTAACGCGGGATCAGACGGTGAATAATGTGTTCTTCTGCACAGGTGTCAGCTGTTACGCACAAGTTTCAGGTTGATACGGTGGAATATTAGGAAACTGTTGCATTAAAGCTCCTCTGGATGAATCCTGACATTTATTTAGATATTCCTATCATTATGCACAACAATAAATGTTTTTATTGCAGCTCTCATAAAGCTGGGCCTCTTCCCCACTGGTCCATCTAACGGTCAGTTCATCACGTTCTTTTCTCCACAAACAACACATTTACTTGATTTATCCAGATGATCAAGGCCAGTCTACACTTGTTAATGGTCTTTCTATCTATAATATATTGTCCACAAAGAACTGACTTAAGACTGTGGCCTCGTTTGTACTAGTTCTGTTTGTTTTCAGCCGTCCTTTACGCTCCACTCCTGAGCAGCAGGGAGGCAGGAACAAACCTTTTAACGTTATTGTAATACAGCTTAAATGTTTTCTTCTCATAGGTGCGTTGTGTGACTGCCGTACAAGGACCCACAGCCCCGCTTCCAGCTATCATCTCGACACATGAGCTCATAGCACGCCTAAAACCTTTCATCCAGTGCATTTCCCACAACCCCTGTGGAGCTGACCCGCTGGCCTATCGGTGGCAGGAACACACAGAAACATCCAGCAATCCAAAATAATCTGCCCATCTCTGGTACTTCACTTTGGGACTGGCGGAGCAGTGGGACTCAGTATTATGGTTAGTTCTAATCTGTTTTCTGTTCTCTCTGCCCTGCTCCCTCTCATCTCTGCCTTATACCCACTGAACCTCCTGTATGGATTAGTGGAACGCTCCCAGAAACCGACGAGCAATCTCTCCTCTGTCTGCGTCCGTCCCACACTTTCTTTTCTTCTGTTGCCGCCCTAAAAGGCAGAGAATTTGAAGGTGTAACTCTGCCTTGATTCAACACTTGGAACAATCAAATCACAGTGAGCCCAGAGCTTTAATGAAGTCGTTTAATGTCTCAGAAACATCGTAGCTCTCTAGCGTGGTAGCGGTGAGACCGGTCAAACACAGGAGACAAATGAAACATACAAAATAATTCATGTCAGAAAAATAAGCAGAGAAGATTATATGCAAAAGATAAAAGTACAGTAAATGATTAAGAAGCATAAATAGCATTGTGTCCTATTACTGCTACTTCTATTGGATAAACCCCTGAGTTTGAAAAAAAAAGAAGAAGAAGAAGAAGCAGAAAAATATAAACAGAAAAAATAAAAAGTTGGCAGTTTTCTAGAAATTAGAAAAAAAAAAATAAACGAGAAAGAGAGAGTCTGTTGGGTGGAGTGCCTGCGTAACAACACACGGCTGATACCAGACATGATTGCATTTTCAAGTTTTAATATTTACAAAACAACAACAAAATAAGTATATTAGCAATGTCCATGTCAGCTGAAGACATAATATTAATGATGATAGCAATAATACTGATAATAATATCAACTTCAAAACAAATTACCACAATTTTTTACTTCAACGAATTCACAAATTTTTAAAAGAAACATAATATTGTTTAAGTCTAATACAAAAAAAAAAAAAAATCAAACGAAACATCGAACACATAAAGTGGAACCCATCACATGTTTACAGGTCGGAGCTGAGAGAGGCACCCGACTCTCTGTGCAAAGGGGCGGCTGCCCGGCGGCTCCGTCCCTTCCCTTTCTCTGGTGCAGCCTTCTCTCCTGTCAAGACACCTCGCCGGAGCAGCTCGTCAGCAGATAGAAGTTAACGACAAAGTTCAAGAACTGCTTCGACAATCTGCTTACCCCATGCAGCTACTGTGAGATGAAGTGGGCGGGGGGGGGACATTACTCGGCCACAGTGGGGCCATTGTTGCCCAGATAGTGTGGAAGTGATCCTATTAAACTAACAATGCACGAGCCATTCTGCTAATGATTACAACCATGCTCGAAGGCAACAGGTTTGTACTGCAGCGACCCACTCCACACGCAGGCTGCAGAGGGTCAGCATCGTAGAGGCTACTGGGAACCATCAGCTTGTGTCTGCTAGTCTTTTTTGAATTAGTGGCCACCCTGTAAAGACACTTCTGTCAGGTGTCGGTGTGGGTCAGCTGAGATGTTTGTCTCAAAAAAACAAAGCAGCATTGCAAAAGAAAAATACATCACAGAAAATACAAGACAAAGTCTAAAAGGAACAAATTACATAAGCTTGGGCTCTCGTCAGTTCTTGTGCTTTAACACGACTATTTCAAGGCTGTCGGTCATGCAGACAACTTGTAGGTGGCTGAAGGTAAAACTGCTGTTGTGCTGTGGCAACTTGCATATAAGCTCTGCGTCTAATTTGGTCCAAATCAGAGTTCTACCAATCAAACCAAATGTACAGATTCATCACTTAAAGGGAAGCATGTGACTAGTGGCCTCCTTTGTTTTGCAAGTTCACTGAAAATTCTCTGGTTCTGACCTTCTGATCCACTGAGCAGCAGAATTAAAGCTTTTGTTCTTTCTCACTAATCTGATTTTTTTGTACATTTATCAGTTTTTCTTTCTTTCTGTCTTTTTGTGGCTGTTCCTTGATTTCGAGGCTGATTTCTGTGCTGCTTCAAACACTTCTGTCATCTGTTTGTTACGAGTCGAGCATCAACAGACCAGTTTACCTCCACACACGTTTTTTTCTGAAACAAACAAAAATGAAGAAAATATTTCATCTGATTCGTTCTTCGACTGATATGATTAATAGATTTCTGGGTCCCAAGTTCTCTTCCTTTCTTCTAAAACACACCAAAAGTAATCTGGGGGTTTTCACCCTACATTGATTCTGTTGGATTTCTCACTTGTTCCCCACCTCCCTTCCTCCCCACATCCCCCTCCCTGTTATTTACAAGACCTGGAACTTCCAGGAGTTCTGGTCTTTGTAGTCCAGACAGTCAGCGGCATTGAAATTGAGCTTCCAGGCAGCTTGGTCTTTGTAGTCTAGACAGTCGACGGCCCCGAAGCCCAGTGAGGCGGCTGTGTAGCCCTGGGAGGAGAGCGAGGCGGGGGACTGGCTGAGGGGCCCACCCATAGAGGAGGCCGTGATGGGGCTCAGGGCTCCGCCGGTGCCCGACAGCTGCGGGTGCATTGGAGACAGGTAGGAGCTACAGTCCAGGCCAGTGAAGTAGGAGGAGGAGCCTGCATAGCTCTGGCTGTAGGCTGGGGCCTGGGTGTAGGTCATGGGGTAGGTGGTGGTGCGCTGCATGCAGGGGGTGGTGGAGGCAGACAGGGGGTCTGGCAGCGGAGAGATGGAGGCTGGGCTCCAGATGGACACCGTGGCACTGGCAGAGCTGGAGCTGGGGGTGATGGCGGTGCCTGGAGGAGGGGGTGGAGGGCTGTAGGGTCCATTGGTGGGGTTGGCACTGGCCTCGGTGTTGGCCTCGCGAGCAGGGGAGGCCTTCTTCTTAGGGGGCCGGGGTTTGGACTGGCCTGTGCTCTGCTGCTGCTGCTGGCGGCACTTGGCACGACGGTTCTTGAACCAAACCTTTAGGGTGCATCAGAGAGGAAGAGGTCAAACATCAGCAACAAGTAAACACCAGAGATGTGAGAGCTGCTGGTTCTGTCACAAACTCACAGATTCAGAGTCAGACACATCTTTGCTCTAATACTCTGAATCTGAAATACAACACAGTGTGATGTGCTACCTGGACTCTAGACTCGGGCAGGTTGATCTTCAGGGCCACCTCCTCCCTCATGAAGATGTCTGGGTACCGAGTTTTGGCAAACAGAGCCTCCAGGATGTCCAGCTGCGCGCGCGTAAAGGTGGTGCGTTCCCGACGCTGTTTACGTGGGGTGCCTGTAAAAAGATGATTATTAATATTATTATTATTATGAATCCCTTGTTTTAATTATATTTAAAAGATTCTGCAGAAAAAAAATGTTACTAAAGGCCTAAAGCTGTAAATGTTATTTATCTGTGTGGGTTTGAACATTTAAAACATTCAACAATTAATTCTATAAATTTAACACAACGAATGATTGGAAATAGTACGAAGTTTAACACAATATCGTTAATGTACTTCACTAAAAATGCCACATAAAAATACATTAATTATCGTGTCGGAACCAAGTAAATGATTTTAGTGCTTTGTCTTAGATCTTCAGCATAAATAAACCACATGAACGAGCAGGCAGAGAATGAGATTAATAAACAGAACCGGGTTTCAAAAACATGACGCGGAGTCTAATTAATTTTAGTCGATCGTTTTCATCTCCTGCCATAATTCTGGACAAATGTGCTGTAAAGACAAACAACGTCTTCAGTGGATCGAATAAACTGAGACAAACAGCTGTTTCGGTTTTCTATTTCCTAAATATGATTGTTCAAATCGAAATATTGAAAACGACGAAACGAAATTGACTCCATATCCCAGATTCTGAATTTTAAAAAACGTTCTTCAGACTTGGTTGATTCAAACTCCTACTCTGCCACAAGGAGGCCGAGCTTCGTAACACGCCTCCTGTGATCAGTGCCAAACCTCGGCATCATTTCATTCAAACTCTCCTCTCGGAGATGACAGATGCTGATCAGAACATCCAGACAATATAAGTGTGTATTCATGTAAGAAAAAAACATGATGGCACAAAATGAAATACAAAGACTGTCCTTCTGTAAATAGGTTACACGATAAGAGCAACAGATTGGAGTTTTAATTCTGTGTGAGAACAGGCTGCGTTTCCATTCACACACATTTTCATTGTTTTTTGACTCTATAATCCGCTGAACTTATAGGTCAAGTGAACACATGTTGTGATAGCTGAAGAATCAAAGACATATATTCATACACATAAAGCTTAACCTGCCTGATGCATTTGAACAAAACGACATGTCATTGTTTGGTTTGTTTGTTTTTAAAAACTGATTTTACGCAAAAGATAGACACTGTTTTGTTTTTGAGAATTCCTTCACTATTAGCAAATTAGAACATGTTTTGTTTTTTTCCACTTGAAACAATAATGAAAGGACATGTCTAAACATGTTTAAAAAAATAAAAATACAGTCAGATGTCAAAGGTTTGTACTCACTGGGATATCCAACGGCGGCGGTGTGGAGCAGATCCATGCCCGGGCCGGACAGCGTTAACCCGTTCACGGCGTAATGGGGTTGCTTAATGTAGGACATCATGCCTCCTGCCGGCTTTAAAACACTCCCTCACTCCCTCACTCTCTCTCTCCTTCTCTCAGACCGGGGGCCGGGTCTCCTAACTAGTCTCCAGGGGGTGTCTCTCTCTCTCTCTCTGTCTCTCTCTCTCTCTCTCTCTCTCTCTCGCTCTCTCGTTTTGTCCTCTCTCACTCCTCCCGCTGTAATTTCTTTTTCCTGGGTTGTTTGTCACTTAGTTGTTGTTTTTGATTTGCTCGGCTGGCCTTCTCCTTCTTGGTGCTCTGACTAAGTGCTGCGGAGCCAGGCACCTGTGGTTCTAACCGCACAAGTAACCGCGGTGCGCCTTTACACCTGTTGTCACCACACGCGTAAAATCACAGCACACCGAAGGACTGGGTGCGTATTTTATGCTTCCTCTATTCAAATAAGAGTCAAAACAACAACTCAAATCAACCCAAGACTACAAACGAAGATACCACATTAAAAGTGGTACCGACTGACTGAACAAGACTCGTGCTATAAAACAAGATTCTCCAGCAAAAGTCGTGCGTAATTGCGCTGCGCACCTGCGTCGCCAGGTGAAATGTGCCAAAAAAGCAGCAAGTTCCTCTGCGGTGCGATGGGTGGTGGAAAGAGTGGAGGCCTTTGGCGGTCCCTGGTCCCTGAGGAGAGGATGCGGGTCTGCAGGGTGGACAAGTGAGGCGAGCGAGAAGAGACTGGCTAATTAGAAGTAACTTCTTACCCAAGTAGACACTCAGAGCCCTCCCTCTCTCTCTCTCTTCCCCCTCTCTCTCTCTCTCCCTCTCTTTCTCTCTCTCTCTCTCTCTCTCTCTCTCTCTCTCTCTCTGGGCCGCACTTTTGCAAACGCCCACACATATTTATTCATCATGTATTCATGATGAGCCTGATGTGCTTTGGTTTGTCATTTTGCAAAAAAATAAAAAAAAAAGTTCTCCTTGCAGAGTTGCACTGTTTATCGAATGCATCTTTATATTTACATTTGTTTAAAGTCCATTAGAGGCACATTTGGTTGCAGCAGCAGACACTTGTTGATACGTATCCAACATGGGCTACAGATAGATTTAAACAAAAGGCGACAATTAAAACAAAAAGAATAAAAAAAGACTTTTAAATATTTCTTGTTCATAAAGGCCCTTGACAATTTTATGCAGCTCGAGTGGCTGATGGTCTAAAGGAACCAAATCTCATCTGGTCCGAGTCTGTTCCAAGAAGTACCTTTGATTGTTGTGAACAATTAAAAAAAATAAAAATAAAAAATTGGCCTCCTTCAATTAATTGGGCGACGCTGGCTGAGTGTGGAGTCAGAGCTGGAGCCACCGAGAGGCGGAGAAGGGGGTACAGGCCGGATTAAAGCCCGCACAAAGACCGCGTTGTTCTGCTATTAAATCCCCTTCTGATCCCCAACATGCTCCCTCCGGCCCATTCATCCGTCCACCCAGCACAGTCAACAATTATAATAATTTAAATTGAGCTATTTTATTTGATTTACATAGCTCATAGTAGACCATGAATTCATCAGTACCTCATAGATATTTGGATTATGGAGGAGCTGATAACAGATTCTAAAAGGGGAATACAAACTAGTGCAAATAATGAAACGGGCCACAAGTAGGAGAATAAAACCCTGGAATTAAATAATTTGTATGTAAATTATTGAATGTTGTGAAGAACCCAGAATAGGTACGTGGCATTTATCACAGTTACGCAATTTTCCAGCTCTTGTCAGGACACTGTGCTCCTCTCCAGCCCGTGTTCCCGCAGACAGCTCCTGTCGGCGGTGCGCGCTGCGCTCAGACCCGGTGTGAGCTCGTTAACCACCGCCGAGCTGCGCGTCTCCTCCCGGGGCCAGTTTGTGCCATCCTCTGCGGCGAGACAATTTCACAGTGTCCAAAGCCGATTCTCTGCGCTTGTTAATTGAATCGGATTTCTTATAGTTTAAAATCCACACACACACGCACGCACACGCACACAGACCCATGTAGCTGCAGCCCAAACTGTATAAGGGGTTTATCTGGCTGTGTAAAGCCAAAGCGGAGATATAAAGACACACACGGAGCGACGGGGACACTTTACCGGCGTGTCTCAACGTTCCCGAAGCTCCAATAAAATGTGTTCACCTGCGCAGGTGAGCAGCTGCTGGAGGGCGGCAGCCGGAGGCCTCGTGTGTGTGTGTGACTGTGTGTGTGCCGTGGACGCCGGGATCCCTCGTGTCTTCCGTGGACGCCTCACATCAGGTAAGCCTAGTTTGTTTGTTTGTTTGTGTGTGTTTGTTGTTTTGTTGTTTGTGGCTCGGACCAGTTGTGCTAAGCTAACAGCTAGCCGGGCGACGGGAACGTCTCGAGACCTCCAGCTGGTAGAAAGAAGAAGAAAAAAGCGCGAATAACGAGACCTCAGAGCGCGCGCAACACCGCCGTGCACGCGCTCCGTTCGCGCACCTGCGTGTGTCAGACTCTGGTTCTGCAGCTGATGGACGAGTTCACCTGAACATGAGCTGGAGGTGGTTCGGTTAAAAGAAAAAGGAAAAAACGCGTAAAACTTTTAGTGATGATAAAATGCGGGTTTTTATTCAGACGTACTTTAAATTGTAGGATGACAGTTGGGTCATTAGCTAATTAGTCTACAAGGATCACATTCATGCAAATTAAAACAGCACTGAAACTAAACTATTTATTCCATGATGACTGCAGGAGGCCTCAAAGTGGCACGTGCGCAAAGTAAACAAATAAATAAACACTTGTTCCGCTTCATGTGACTGTAAAGTGTTTGTACACTGGAAAATATAGAACAAGTGTAGATATGTGGGGAAATGGAGGCGATAGACCCTCAATATTTAGAAAACCTGAAAGAAACTGTGGAGTTATTATTATTATTATTATTATTATTATTTAAATGACATTGCAAACAGGTGCAACTGTGGTTCTGAACTGTGTTTTTTTTAACCTGCGAAAATATAAATATACACCATGAGCTCATACAGCCACTAAATCCACTGTGGGAAGCATGATTTCACCCATATATATATACTATACTATTATTTCTTAGCTTTTCACCTGATGCAAAGTTTTTTTAAACATAAATTTATGCAGAAAAACTATAAACTGGTGCATAAAAATCCCCAGAATGCAAGAAAATAAGTGTTTGATGCTTAAAGACCCTCCAGATGAATGTGTGTCTCCCACTCCAGATATTCAAACTCCTCAAGGCCCCATTAAAGCTGATAATATAGATTCTGAACAGGCCAAGTTTCCAAATGATGCCCTAAATGTCCAGTTACACTCCATCACACACAGTCAGTGTTCATCAAACTGTACAAATAAACAGTGATTTGTTCATTAAGCTGTAAATATGAGGTTTGTATTACCTGCAAAGGACAATCAAAAAAAGTCACCATTAACTCTGCAGTCATGGTTTTTCATTAGACAAACATTCCTTAAACAAATCAGATTGGACGTCCAATTTATTCAGATTTATATATTTCAATCAGTTTTCTTCTAATCCAAGTAATTTGGTTTGTTAAGTTTAATCTCGTGTGTTTTTAACATGTTTTTTTGCGTATAATTACACGGGCCTGACCTTAGATTAGTGTTTTATTGCTCTAAATGAGTATTTTGTTTTTTGCATGACAAGTGGGTTTTTTTCTAGGTTGTTTGTGTGGAAACTGTGATGAAGGACTGCTGGTAGTTTGGACGCACTAGGACCCAGAGCAGCAGCAAATTAAGGACAAGCATCACATAAGAGGCTTAGTACATCTAATCTATACTCCTACACACACACACACACACACACACACACACACACACACACACACACACACAGAACATTTCATAAACATCCCATTTGGAAACAAGCACGCATACGTGTCCCAAAGGCAAACACTGCCATTGTATTTTCATTTAGTTTTCATTTTCTCCAAACTCTTTTATTCCCCTCGTTGACCTTAACTTCCATCCTGCTTTGTTGGGGAACATTTGCCCATATGCTCCGCTATTTGTCTCATCCTATTTCATTAGCAAAAGTCCTTCGATGAACTAAGAAGTCGAAAGCAAACTCATTCATTCGAGACAATTATAGTAAAAAAAAAAAAAAAAGAGAAAAAGGAAAAACACTCAGGCCTGAACTCTTCCTCGCTCATCTGCTCCGTGCATGCGTCTGTGTGATGCTTCATCGGCCTGCTTACTGCCGCCGACCACTCCGACGGATCACAAATGAAAAAGGATTTCAATTTGGAATTGAAATGAAGTTTGAGAGCTTCTGAACAATCATTCTAATGAAATTGTACCGAAGCCTCATACCCACAGAAAAAGCAATTTCTTTTGTTTCTCGTGAGTTTCGGGAACAATAAGTGAATTCTCCCAGAATCCTCCCTCCTGCTGACACGACTGGAAAACCGATGTTTGTAGTTTGATACCAATCCCATGTTTGTGTGTGTGTGAGGCTGAAAACACCAGAAGATGGTTTGTGTTCGGGCCTGTGATGCCGAGTGATTTGTGGCACGACACAAACCAAAACACATCTTGTCCCAAAAGACCCAAAACACACACACACACCCATGCATTATTCACACACAAAACCCTCCACACACACACTCTCCCAGCTGTTAAGTACCTCTGACATCATGTTGTTCGATACACAGAGTATTTTTGTATGTCTGTGTGCACACTGTGTGCTTATAGTGTGTGTGTGTGTGTGTGTGTGTGTGTGTGTGTGTGGGTGTGACAGTTACACACTCACACATACACACACGCACAGAGTTCAGCCGATTTATCATAATATGCTTTATCTGAAAAGTAAGTATCTTACCTCGGGATAAAGGGAGGAAAGAGGGGTTTGTGGCCAGATTGACAGAGGAAGGGTGGATGGAGAGAACCGAGCGCTCGCTGCACCGGAGCAGAGCAGGACTTCAGCTCTGGGGCTGGATCAATCACTATCGATAAGGTAACTGGACACTGTGGGGAGGGAAGCAGCGGCATTGACAGTGAGGTGAAGGTGTGTGACGGCCGGACAGGCGGCCGGCTGACAGACACTAGCGACCAGGAGGCAGT